TTTCAAGGACAAACAATTTTCATCATACACCCCAAAATAAATTCATATTACTGCACAACACTGAAAATGACCTAATCTGAGGAAAGACTAGAAATCGGTTACACCTTGTCACTCCAGTGGGTCTAAAACTGACAGTATGGTGAAAGAAAGGAAACTAAAAAGCTGTACGTTTTTTGTGTCAAATAAGTTCTGTACGGATTAAAATTTTGTATATTTTATTTCTTGATAATAAAAGCCACGAACATCAAGTATATCTCTCAATACATTCTGCTGAGAATAAAAGAACGTGATTATTAAACCTCCTCCCACAGGCGTAATCGATGGGATAATGAACAGTGGATGTTATAACTTTATGATCTATCTTTTTACCAACTGCCTTCTGAACTCAAGGAAAAACGACGCGTTTTGTCAAAGCTCCAAAATTTATCGGATTTTAATTTGACTTTTCAACCGATTTCACTCCAAAGTATGGCAATAAAGCCTCTCTGACGCAAGGGGATATTGGATGTAAAAGAACTATAAAACAGAAAGTTTACTAAGGAGGAAGAAAGAAAAAAAGAGTAATCAGTGGGACAGTAGATAGCGATTGAGATCGCATTTATTTTTTTGCAGATTAAAGATGGCTGGGAAGCATGGAGTTGGAAGGGATTCCCACAAGTGCCAAAAAAAAGAAAAAGAAACTGTTAGACTAAAATTTACGGTTACATCTTTGTTTCTTTCTTATGTGCCATGTCCTTTCATGAGGTAGGCGATCATGGCTCTCCACTCCCCTCTATTCCTTGCAACTCTCAGCAATTTCCTTCCGGCTGCTTCCTCCCCTAGACACCGTTGGGTCATCCACCTGCTCAAGCTCGTCAGGTATGTCACGCGCTGCTTTCCCTTGTCTCTCTTTACCGCTGTTCGACCTGTGAGTATCAGATTCTCCAGGCCCTCCTTTCTCATTATGTGTCCTAGAAACTTCAGCTGCCTCTTCCTGATGTTAAGTATAAGCCTTCGCTTTGTTTGCAATCTCTCTAAGGCCTCATCGTTGCTCACACACTCGGTTACATCTAGTCAGCTCAACTGTAAACTGATGAGACCTAGTCGGCAGTCTCGTACTGCGCTTAAAATCTAAGAGTCTAGGCAATATCGCAAAGAACTCATCCTAACAATTAACATGTAAAGGCAAAGTGAGCTAACCACACAGCGATGAGAAAGTGACGATATTCACCTACCGCCCCACGCGGTCGGATGTAGCACAAGGCCGAGTTTATTGTGGGGTATCCGAGCCAGTAGGCCCGCTCAAAAATTCCCCGTAGACCCCGTACAAACAGGGTCGGGTAGCTGTCTACCTACCCCAGACGAGACTCTGCCCTTTGGCATAGCCTCGTCTGGGTTCCTCTCTGCCCGGAGACAGAGTTTGACAAGCACACTGAGGAATACCAGAGTGAAAGCGAGACGAAAGATTGAGGCCAATATTTCCGCTATTCAATATGGTAAATCAATGTTTGACTTCAAAAAATAAAGAAGTTTTATGGGTATGCATGGAGATCAAAATATCATAAACTACCCTTCCATTATAGCCACAATAGATTTTATTCTTCCCTTTAACGAAAAGCTGTTTAAAGATATTTTGTATAGAGTGTGGGCTAAAATCTATCATGCCAATTCGAACACTGAGTTCGATTAGATCCTTTGATAAGCACAATACGTGTATGTGAGTGAGTTTTGAAGGGGGACATAAAGGTTTTAGCTACTTTTCCTTTGAACATTATGGGAATGTAAATAACGGGACAATTATCTGATGAAATTCGACTGATTTTTCTGTTTGAGAATTAAATTTTACTAATTTTCCAAATGCAAATATCGATTAGATAGATAGATAGATAGATAGATAGATAGATAGAGAGAGAGATCGTAAAAAATTGAAAATTGGATAGATAGATAGATAGATAGATAGATAGATTAGATAGATCGTAAAAAATGAGAATTAGATAGATAGATAGATAGATAGATAGATAGAAAAAGACTGAGAATTGGATAAATAGATAGTTCGATAGATATGAACAGACGGAAATAGATAGAAAAGAGTGAGAATTGGATAGATAGATAGATAGATAGATAGATAGATAGATAGATAGATAGATAGATCGTAAAAAATGAGAATTAGATAGATAGATAGATAGATAAAAAACACTGAGAATTGGATAAGTAGATAGTTCGATAGATATAAACAGACGGAGATAGATCGACAGAAAAGAGTGAGAATTTGATAGATAGATAGATAGATAGATAGATAGATAGATAGATAGATAGATAGATAGATAGATGTGAATGTGAATGTTGCGTGATCAGCAATTTGTTCTATTTATTTCGTATTTCAGCAATAATTGGAAAACCATTGAAAACTAAATTATCGATCTTCCCTACCATTACAATCACTTTCGGCGCATTTCTGTCAACTTTTCTTCAATTTTCAGCGTTGGTCGACGGAAAAGTAGAAATTTACAAACGGAACGAAACAAGAAAATAAAGAAATCACTTTTTGATGTCACTAATGGCTTGGCAGGGAGGCTTTTTCAGAAGGGGAAAAATTAAGCCTTTTCTTTTTTCCCGCCGAAAAAGCCTGCCGGCCGGGGCTCCCCAACATCCATTTTCATCGGAAGAGAATTTTTTTTTTTTAAATGAAAAAGAGAAAAAATGCCAAATGTTATTGCGACATATTTATTTATTTATTTATTTTTCTTTCCATAAAATATTTCGTCGGCAATGTTGAATATATTTCAGATTGTTGATTCTTGTTTTTCTGTGTAAAGTTATAGTGGCGTGGTGCGTCGGAGTTAAAATGAACAGTTGATTTCCGTCGTCATCGTCGGCATCCGTCCGTCTCGATAGACGATGATGTACATCGGTGCGCTACGAGCCTGGACGGGATATATGGAGAACTAGGGCTGCCCAGGCGTCTATTTCCCCATATCGGCCTTGCTAGCAAAGTCCAAAGGAGGGGATTACAATCAATACAGTTTGGTACCAGAGGGGCTGCAGATGTAGCCGGAAGGTAACACAAAGTGCCGTCCATCCACCTTAGGGGCTCCACTCCGGGTCTGAATTCAGAGTTTTCCTTCTCCTAGACCAGTTGCCATCCAAGGCTATAGAACCCAGTCTGTCATAGCTGGAGGGAGAAGAAGAGGATTCACACATTTCCAAAGGGCATTAGCACGTAAGTGAATGTAAAGGATTCGACTGGAATTCGAACTCGGCTCCCCGATTCCCCAAACCAAGCCGCTACGCATTACTCCACAGTTGATTTACCCTCGCCAATATGATTGATGAAGGGTGATAATGCCAAGGAAACACACGGCTAATTTTAACAAAACAAGATAAGGAATTTATTCACGAATTTACACGCTTGAAATAATAGTATCATTATCACTTTTCAGTAAAAGTAAATCAGAAATCTTAAAGTCCGTAGTTTTAGCGTGAGATCCTGAAGAGGTAATTTTGATAAACAGATTAAATTATCTGAAAATAATATTCAAAAATGTTTGAAACAAAGTAAGATAGTTCATTTCTCCTCGAAAGTACATATGGTCTGCATGCATTCAAAAGTAGTCGAAGAGAGATAATTTGAAATACTTAACATTCTTGGATTGTTGAGAGAAAATTCTTTGATGTGCCGCGGCCGAAAATATAACTGGTGAATAATTTTACACTGGTGAGTAGTTCAACGCCGGTCGCAAGGAACTGAAACGAAACCTTTCACATCACTTCAGACCCGCCTTTCTAAAAAAATTTAATTTTTCTCTTCATTTTATATTAAAAAAAATTAATTTCGTGTAGTCTCGCGAATTTATTTCCTTCTTCTTTTTGGCTGACCGGCTAATTTATGTAACGAATGGTTTTCATTGAAAATAAAAAAAAATTCACATAGGCTCGCGAATTTCTTTTCTTCTTCTCAGTACACCAGTCAATTTTTGTAAAGGCAAGGTTCTTATTGAAAATGAAAATTTTCACATAGGCTCACGAATTCCTTTCTTCTTCTTCTCAGCTCACCGGTCAATTTCTGTAAAGGCAAGGTTTTTATTGAAAATGAAAATTTCACAAAGGCTTTCCTTCTTCTTCCGCAGTCCTTGAAGTGAGTGGCTGAAAGCAATTATTATTATTTCACACTCACTACAACGTAAAGATTGTATTTCATAAATTAAAAAAAAAAATAAAAATATAAGCCGTTTATTAAAATATTATCATTTAAAATTAAAATTTTAAAAAATATGGCGCACAACAAGAATCCTCGGTCACGTGACTTTTAAAATCAATACCGATTAATTTTTTTTTTCTTTTCTTTTTTTAAGCATGTAACCCCAAGCAAGGCGGGAGTGAGTCTAGCGCGCAAGGGGTTACAGAGAGTGAGAGCAAGAGTAAAGAGGCGTGTTTGATGAAAGGATACAGATAAGGACGAGGAACGGGATCACAGCATTAGAAGATATTGATTGATATTACATTTGAATATTTGAAGATTATAGCTATCAGGGAAGGAAGTAAGAGGAAGGGAGTTCCACTGTCGGGAAGTGTGTGAGAAGAAGCTGATGGAGTAGAAGAGGCAGTTATATTTAATTGTTCCGACAGTGAAAGGATGGGATCAAAATGCCTACCTAGTAGCACTATTAAATTTATGCAGTGAAAGAAGCTCGTCTGAGCAGCTGCCATGAAAATATTTGTAGAAAAGACAGGGGGAAGCCACAGCACTTCTGTGAGAAAGTGACTGTAGACGAGATAACAGATCACGACCTCTTATATTGCATTGCATATTCGTCTCTGGATTTTGTCGAGGAATGTATTTGCTATACTTCAGTTTGTCTGGTACATGGACATAAAATGGTCAGCACTTATTATAGATTCGACTTATTCATGTCGTAATAGTCTGGGAGATATGCTAGCTAATTATTGATCTAATGCGAACAGCGTATAAATGAACCAAGCTTGATCTTCTCCAATATAATGCCACAAAATTCAATTACCTAATGAGACCCCGACCTCGCTACAGTAGTAATAGACTTCACGGTGAGAAGTATTACGATATTGATTAAATCTACATAGGGTAGCTCACCAAGAAAATATTGGTCAATTAGTGGCTGAATCCAGCCGACTTCAATGCTTGAGGAGATTTAGAAATCAGTTATCCACAAGGAAATTTTTCTGGCACAGCGACACAAATGTGGGTCATCCAATAAGGAGGATCACTTATATAAAAATTATCTGTCCACTCTAAATACTAACTAATGATTCACGAGATTAAAAAAACAACCCCCGGAACGTGATTTTTTTAAGCATTTCGCCTCAAACAAGGAGGAAGTAACCCTTGTTCGCAAGGGGTTACATAGAGTGAAAATGAGAGAAGAAAAATGTGTATAGGGGACTGAGAAATGGATAAAAGATTAACAGGGTTCACGACATCAGATGATGACGAATGACGATGCATATAAATTTTTGAAAATTCTAGTTACCAGGGAAGCAAGGAAACGGATGTTAGTTCCACAGGCGGGAGAGAAGAAACCGTTTAATTTGGGGTAGAAGTGGCGGTTACATTTAACTATGTCAACGGTAAATGAGTGGAACTTAGATGTCAGTCTAATAGCAGGCTTAAATTTATGGAGTCGGGGTACCAGGGAAAAAAGCTCGACAGAACTGTAGCCATGGAAATATTTGTAGAAAAGACAGAGGGAAGCCACATCACGTCCGTGAGAAAGTGTCTGAAGTCGAGATGCCAGGTCAGTATCGATTACAGCAGATCCTTATTTGGATTTTTTCAAGTACCTCAAGAGAAACAGCTGGAGCACCAGACCAGATATGGCAACAGTACGGACGAATAGTAAATTTGTAGATATGTAAGATGGACTCTGATGAGGTAAAACCCTCTAGCGCGACACAGTGAGCTAATTTTCCTTGCAGCAGAAGCAGCTATTGATTCAATGTATATAGAAGTCAAGTGACTTACCTGCCAACATGGCTGCCTTCTTCTGTTTCCTTGTAAAGCAAGCCAGCTGATTTTACCTCATTTTATAGGAGAGTGCCTAATACACCAGTTAGGTTGGTCCATTTTGCTAGAATCGACCTGCTCAATACATTTGCATGAGTGGTCTTTATTCACCCATATATTTCTCCATGAAATGACTTAAGTCAGTCTCAGCTTTGGCTACACTTGGCTACTTGTGTGTTAGACCACTGGCAAGCTAACCAATATTCTACAATGTGTTTGTTTCTGAACAATCAAGAGTGTGAGACTCACATTCGCAAGGAGGTTTCCAACTAGCGTCCAGTTGTCTGACAAAAATAAATTGGTTTGTAATTCTCTTAAATAGTCACAGTACTGTTGGATATTTATTGAGCACAATATCCACATCGGAATCATCAGCCAATCAGAACCTACAGAATAGACTTGCCTAGGTAACAGAATGGAATCTCCCAGGCTGTTATATAAACCAGCTGCCAATTTGCCCAGCAGATAAATTTGGTCAGTCAGACTCAATTTCTATAACAGTCGAGTACTGTCTGTTACTATTATCAAATTTCAAGTCATTTAAAAGCGGCAGGTCAAGGAGGCACAGAGAGACTCTCTCCTGTAGTCTAGTATCAACCATGCTAATGGCGGGTAGGGAATTATCTCTGTGGTGGCGAATTGAGAGCTGTTTTGTTTTGGAAGCATTAAAATTTACAAAACATTACCACCTCCTGTTTCAGGGGCATGATATTGGTAAAAATGAATGGTTTGATAATAGTAATTATTAATGGTAGTGTTAAAAGCAATTGTACAAGCTCCCGATAATAGCTTTGAATTGGAGATACCAAAATCTAGTGCACCAATTTAAATGTCTGGGAATTGTGATAAGGTGACTGAAAATATGGCACCGAAATCCGAAGTCCCATTGGAATAGAAAAATGACTTCCAAAATCTAAGAACTATATGAAAAAAAAAAGAAACATTTCGTTAGATAAAAAGGAAAAAGTGTTGAAATACTATTTAAACCACTCTTCTTATTTGAGAGTGAATGTTGGGCAATCTTCACGCAAATGTAGATGACACTTGAGTTCACAGAAATGTGGTACTACAGAAGGATACTGAGAATGCCATGGACGGAGCATATGAGTAAGAAGGAATTTTACTTAAATTGAAACAAGAAGGACGCTTATTACTTGAATACGAAAGTGGCAGCTGAAACCTCTAGAACACATAATTGAGGATAGGAGGCTGGGAGAATTTGAAACTCACAGGATATATTGAGGGCAAGGGGGACAGAGATAAAAAGAAAGTAGCCTAGCCACCGAGCTTGTGTAGATACTTGGTAGAAAAGTTAAGTCTGGTGAAAAAACAAACCTTAGTAAGACGTACTGGAGAGCCCAGATGCTGAAGTAACATGGCACATTGAAAAATTGTAATACCAATGGTAAAATTAGCTGTTCTTGGTAGAATTAGTAATTCTTGTATTAATAGTAATGGTAAAATTAATGGTACCGTTATTGGTAAAATTAATCAATTTATTGTACGAAACTTTCAACGGGCATTAACCAAATATTAAGATCTCCTATGGATTAAAATTTAGAAAAAACTTTTTATTAAAAAAAAATTATGGCAACTGCCCACAATCCAATTCTGGCCCTGAAACAAAATGGCTGCGACCCATATTTACACACGCGAGTTTTCATTTTTTTCTACCTTTTTCATTTAGGATTTTCTTAGAATTATTTTTCTATCATTGTTTTAGGAATCTGAAATGTATTCATTGATTCAAGATTTCATTGGTATTCTCTCGACCCGCTCTCCCTCCATGAAGGGCCCCAATTTTCTTCCATTGATTGATCTCACCAATTTTAATGCTGACGGTCAAATTAGCTGTTTCCATCCGAGAAATATTCAGCATCCACAGACCAAACAACGTGAATGTCGGTTGAAATGTTTAAAATCTTTTTGATAAAAAGGTTTTTAATAAACAAAGAAGTTATTAAGAAACGTGAAAATTTCATTAAAAACGAAGAAAAAAGTGCTGAACTGTTATGTAATATCAGTCCTCTTATGTGGCAGTGAATGTTGGACAATCTCCTCACAGATGAAGAAGAGACTTGAAGCAAGAGAAACAAAGAAAAGAGTACTGAACTGTTATGTAATATCACTCCTCCTATATGGCAGTGAATGCTAGACAATCTCCTCACAGATGAAGAAGAGACTTGAAGCAAGAGAAACAAAGAAAAGAGTACTGAACTGTTATGCAATATCAGTCCTCCTATATGGCAGTGAATGATGGACAATCTCGTGGCAGATGAAGAAGAGACTTGAAGCAACAGAAACAAAAAAAGTGGACAGAACTGGCACAATACAACGCACAAATGGTAGTTTTATAAATGTTCACGGTGGTTTCTGACCAGAAAGATTGTCTGGCACGATAAAGTGTGGAAACATTCCTAGCAGCAAGCTTAACAGTTGATTCAATTTGAAGCTATTTTTAAGCACTGATTTGAAACAAAATGGTCCAGTATTTCTGTAACTGAAATTTGGGTTACAACTGATGAAATATTTGTGTGAATAATGTCTGTGTTACAAATGGCCTAATATTTAATGAACTAGAATCTTTGTTGTGAATCATTAAACATTTATGTAACTGTAATCTGTGTTACGATCGATTCAATATTTGTGTAACGCAATTCAGCGTTACCAATGCTCCTATAATTGTGTGATTACAGCCTGTTTTACAAATAATCCAATATTTTCGAGGAAAAAGCCTCATCCTCTATGTTGCTCTCTCTCTCTCTCTCACTCTCTCTCTCTCTCTCTCTCAGTTTCTGCCTCTCTCTCTCTCAGTTGTTCCCTTTCACTCACTCTCTCTGTTGCTCTCTCTCTCTCTCTCTCTCTCTCAGTTTCTGCTTCTCTCTCTCTCTCCCTCTCGCTCTCTCAGTTGTTCCCTTTCACTCACTCTCTCTGTTGCTCTCTCTCTCAGTTTCTGCCTCTCTCTCTCTCTCAGTTGTTCCCTTTCACTTACTCTCTCTGTTGCTCTCTCCCTCTCTCTCTCTCTTTCTCCCTCTCTGTTGCTCTCTTTCACTCACTCTCTCGGATGTTCTGTCTCAATCTCTCTGTTGTTGTCTTTCGCTCACTCTCTCTCTTGCTCTCTCTCTCTCTCTCTCTCGCTGTTGCTCTCTTTCACTCACTCTTTCTCCCTCGAACACTCTCTCAGTTTCTCTCTTTCACTCACACACACACACACTCTCTCTCTCTCTCTCAGTTGCTCTCTTTCAGTCAATCTGTTGCTCTTTCTCTCTGAATTGCTCTCTTTCACTCACTCTCTCTGTTGCCCTATCTCACTCTTTGTTGCTCTCGCTCACACCTTCTCTGTCGCTCACACCTTCTCTGTTGCTCTCACTTACTGTTTCTGATACTCTCTCTCTCTCGCTCTCTCTCTCTCTCTCTCTGTTTCTACCTTTATTTCTTGCCCTCTCATTCTTTTATGCTGTTCCTCCATTTGTCGCTTCCGCTCAATCTCTCTCTCTTATTCTCCCCATATATATATATATATATATATATATATATATATATATATATATATATATATATCTGTTGTTCTCACTTTGTTTCTGTCTCATTTGTTTTGCTCCTTCTCTATATCTTTCTGTTGCTTTCTCACATTCTCATTCTCTCTCACACACACACATTCTCTCTGTTGCCCCCTCTCGCTGTTGTTCTTTCTCTATTACCGTTGTTCTCTCTCATTTGCTCCCTCTCTTTTTGCTATCTCTCTCTCTCTCTCTCTCTCACTCTTTCTCTCACTCTTTCTCTCTGTGGTCTTTTTTTTTGGTGCCTTATCTCTCCTTCACTCTCTTTCGCACCCACACTCTCATAACCTCTCTCTCTCTCTCTCTCTCTCTCTCTGTTACTTTATCTCTCTCCATTTTGATTTCCTTCTCTCTCATTCGTTCTTTCAATCTGTAAATTCTTCACATTTTGCGAGTACGCGTGGGTGTTAATATGTTTAAGCGGTTCAAACTATCTGAAATAATAATATGAGTCAGCACATATTTTAACCATATCTTTGAGATCAGAATTCAAAGTTGATGAGAGAATATTCCGAGATCTGAAATTTACAAAAATTTGCATATAAATGTATGAGATTTTCATAATATAGGTCATCACACGAGGACAGTGTCTAAAGGAGATATGTGACAGATAGATAGATAGATAGATAGATAGATAGATAGATAGATAGATAGATAGATAGATGTGTACTGATATATATATATATACACATATATATATATTTATATATATATATATATATATATACTCACTCACGCACACACATACACATACATATATATATATATATCTATCTATATATATATATATATATATATATATATATATAAAAACTGGCTTAGGAAGATGGATCACAAGAGATCGATAATAGAGTCCTATAGAGATAGATAGATAGATAGATAGATAGATAGATAGATAGATAGATAGATAGATGTGTACTGACTGATATGATATATATATATATATATATATATATATATATATATATATATGAAAAAACTGCCTAGACTGAGATCGATAATAGACTGTGATAGATATGGATAGAATGGAATAGATAGATAGATAGATAGATAGATAGATAGATAGATAGATAGATAGATAGATAGATAGATATGAACAAACTGGGAGAGATAGATAGATAGATAGATAGATAGATAGATAGATAGATAGATAGATAGATACTGACATATATATATATATATATGAAAAAACTCGCTTAGGAAGATTGATCACAGACTGAGATCGATAATAGAGTCCTATAGAGATAGATAGATAGATAGATAGATAGATAGATAGATGATAGTACTGTACTGATATATATATATATATATATATATATATATATATATATATATATATATATATGAAAAAACTGCCTAGACTGAGATCGATAATAGACTGTGATAGATATGGATAGAATGGAATAGATAGATAGATAGATAGATAGATAGATAGATAGATAGATACTGACATATATATATATATATATGAAAAAACTCGCTTAGGAAGATTGATCACAGACTGAGATCGATAATAGACTCCGATAAATATAGATAGATAGATAGATAGATAGATAACAGACTGTGATAGATAATGTTCAGGTTGAGATAAACATGAATAGACTGAGATAGAAAGAAAAAATAAAAGGAATCCTCATTTAAATTAATTATTTTTCTTCATCATCATCTTTATCATCCTGCATCGCGAACATTTTACCCCGTTTTTTTTCTTTTTCTTTTTTCCTTCCCACTGACTCTCATTATCCCAAATCCGTTTGTTTTTGTTGTTTCATTCTTTTACCTCCACCTATGTCATTATCCGTGTCGGTCTTTTACTCCGAATTATTAGTTCGATCAATAAGCTCAATATTTATTCTTCCGAAAGCCGGAGACGAATGGAATATGCCACAAAAAGCCAATTCTGGCGGGAAAATCCGGACAAATTGGCGCGAAAACTTTTTGTATGTGTTTTGTTTATCAATAGTCATTTATACATGAGAATAAATCTTTAGGATCTACTTAAGGTCAAGCCCAATACATTACAGTAGAATGTTCTGCACACACACACACAAACTGCCTAAATAAAACTATTCATATATATATATATATATATATATATATATATATATATATATATATATATATATATATATATATATATATATATATATATATATATATATATATATATATATATATATAATTTTATTTAGGATATCTATGTTTGTGTGCGCGTGTGTGTGTTTTATATAAAAAAATACGAAAGAACAATTTAGATAAATAATCCGGACTTATTTCTTTTCAAAATTTCGCCGCTTGAGGATGAAACACAAGTTGATACTTTAATTCAATTTAATTTTAATAATTATATTGAAGTTTTTTGAAGCATGAGAACTCTTATATAGCGAAGGAATCATATTTTTTTAAAATAATTATAATATATATATATATATATACAAACAAATCCGTAGGTATATAATCCAAGTGGATCCTAGCAATATAAAATATTAAAACTGATCCACAAAGAGCTCAATGTATTTATTATTACATATATATATATATATATATATATATATATATATATATATATATATATATATACATACATTTATATATTTACATATATATATACATTTATATATATATATATATATATATATATATATATATATATATATTATTACAAACAAATTCCAAATTACCTCTCCCACACTCATATAAGATAATTTGGGATATTGTTGTGTATATATATATGTTTCTGTGTGTGTGTGCGCGCGTGTGTATGCGCTTGTGTGTGCGCTTGTGTGTGTGTGTGTGTGTATGCGTGTGTGTGTGTGTGTGTGAGTGTGTGTGTGTGTGTGTGTGTGTGTGTGTGTGTGTGTGTGTGTAGGAGGCACGGTGGAGTAGTGATTGAGGAATTGGAGAGCCGAGTTCGAATTCCATTGGGAAAGGTAATTATCCTTTTTCTTCTCCCTGGACAGATTGGGTTCTATAGCCTTGGATGTCATCTGGTCTAGGTGAAGGACAACTGAACTCACAGCCTGCGGAGAGTCGTTTGGGGACCTTGTGGCACGTGGTGCACCAAGTCTCTATACTCGACCGTTACGAAAATGTGGTTGATTCTGCACAAAGCGATTCTGCACATGTGATGTGATTCTAGTGGTGAACAACTAGAATCACATCACATGTGCTGGTGTCTGGGCTTTGGCTTCCTAGAAACTGAGCTGCTTGACCCTCATACGTCGAATACAACGGGAGAGTGCACCAGATAGATAGATAGATAGATAGATAGATAGATAGATAACAGTAACAGCAAAATTCTCTAACAATTCTTAGAGGATGAAGGAAGTAGCCCTTTGAAGTCTATGCCACATCGTTCCATCGCTCCATCGGTTGAATAGCTTTAAAAAATGGTAGAAACGGGAGTGTAAAATCTAGGCTTCAAGCGACACACCCAGGACGCTCTCGGCATAGTTTTCGTATTTCTTCAGTGGAGTAAGACAAAATTCATATTTTGATGAAAAGGATGTTTATAATATACAGTATTAAACAACATTTACTGGCCTGGATGTCCGAGGAATTTTCATAGAAAATATTCGTCCTCCGACAGGATTCGAACCTGTATCCTATACGGAACCGTCATATAGCCTGACGTGCCTTTTAACCGATTCAAAAAAAAAAAGCAGTAAATTCGACCTTGCTAACCGAACGATCCTCTGTGACCGAATAATACTGTTTATTATAAACAAAGCATTTACTTAAATATTTGTATCTCTAAAAAAATCTATAAACATGTCTTAAAATAATTGTTGGACTTTGTCCATTTCATAATGTGTGACGTCAATTGTTTACATTTGATACGCCATGAGCAAATATTAATGTAGGTGAGAGATTCATGGATGATTGAAGTTTATAAGCAGTAAAATTGACCTTGTTAACCTCTGTGGCCAAATCGGTTAAAAGGAACGTCTGGCTATATGGCAGTTTCGTATAGGACACATGTTCGAATCCTGTCGAAGAATGAATATTTTCTATGAATTTCTCGAACATTCAGGCCCGTAATTTTTTTTTTTTATTATAAACGGAGCATTTACTTAAATATTTGAATCTAAAAAATAATATATATATATATATATATATATATATATATATATATATATATATATATATATATATGGAGCGATGTTTATAGACTTTCAAAGGGCCACCTCATCCTCTAAGAACGGTTAGCTGCTAATTGTGAAAAGAATATTCCTGTTTCCCCATTCGCTTTTACCTGCCCAGGTTTGCCCACTGGCTCGATCATGAAATGTCTGAACCAGAATTTCACAGGGGACTCTGGACTCTCGCAATTCAGTCCAGAGAGATGAAAGAATACCTGGTTAACCTTGGCATTGCAACTAGCTGGACAATTCCCTATAGTCTGTAAGGAAATGGACAATGCGAACAATATAACGGGGTAATACGGAAAGCTATTACACTGGCATTAGCTTCCAGAAATCTTAGAACATCGGCTGTTTCATGCTAGACGCAATCGCCAGGCGGCCTGACGATTGCGTCTAGCAGGAATCAGCCTGTCGTCTCTGAGTGTTGACTTCAATGTTCAAATTTATATTTATATTTACATACGCTCTATCTCTGATATTGAACACTTTATCCCATAAATATAGCATATATATATATATATATATATATATATATATATATATATATGTAATTTATTTGTTTAAAG